GATGCTCAACAATTGACCGGTCTAAACCAGGCATCTCGTAGTATTCCCAAGCAAAGCAATCTTTAAATTCTTTCAATAAATTAATTAATTCCTGCTTATACCCCGGATCCATTTTAGCACTTACGTACGATGGCCTAGGTCTGTCTCCAGAACCAACATCCACTTCTTCCAATTCAGCAGCCGACGTGAAGCCATGTCCTAGTTTACCATCTGTACCATCTATTGGATTATCCATTAAAACAAAATTTCAAAGCCGACTGCTTGGATCGCCTGTGGGCTTTCACCATTGACTCTGAATTCTAATGGCAACATAAAAGTCATTTGAATATTAGCCGATAGTCGCCCTCTATCGACTATTTGCTTAGCACGCCATACTTGAGGCTTGCCGGATGCCTGAGCCTATTCCATCTCTTTATTCCTTAGGCGCTGCACCCTTCTCTTCTGGCTTTGTGTCAATCCTTCGGGGCACCATTGGCCTTCCTGCCAAATGTATTCTTTCTTGTTGCTTTCTTCTTCATGATCAGCCCAGTCTTGGTCAACAACTCTTTTTCCCAGCCGATCATGAATACTTTCATTCTTTAAGCGCCGATCCATGTTATTATGGTGATATGCACCCTGGGCATGGATAGACCGGCGGTTGATTTGAGATTGCCTAAACTCCCAATATCGACTGCTGCATTCTGAACAGTTATGTCTGGTAGGAAATTTCAAATCTTTGTTCTAGCAGTATCTTAAGAAAGGACAATTCTAGTGTGATTCGGCTTGCTTCTGTTCATACCTTCCTTCTTCCAGTTGACGCAGGTATTCTTGATCCTCTAGCCACTGCTGATAATCCTTTTCTTTCTGCCGTTGCCACTTATTCACCAGGATTCGAGATGTAACTCACGGCTTCGTTGCTCCATCTTTTGATGTTTCCCCCTGTTCATATTGGCTCCTCTGCTGATCACGACATTTTCTAATCTCTCTGTATTCATCAGCCGATATTTGCATCTTGGGATCAACTGCTCTAGCTTCTCTTGATTTGGCTGATGTTAGGACCTTAGTCTTTCCTTTGAATAGCCCAACATCAACCATATTTTGATCTCCTGGGAAAGGATTATCATCGACTTTCATCTTCCGAGGCGTATCGAACTTGAGCCACCCTTGCTGAATAGCCCTCTGTATGTGCTGTCGGAAAATTCTGCATTCATTGGTGGAATGAGAGGTAGCATTTTGGAACTTGTAGAACTTCTTATTCTTCAACTGTTCAGGGGGCAACATAACATGATTGTCTGGAAATTTGATCTGGCCCTTCTTAAGTAAGAAGTCAAAGAGCTTGTCCGATTTTGTGACATCAAAGTCATAGCTCTCCCCGACTCCTCTTCCCTAAGGATTTGGCACCATTACTGCCCTCTTGCCTCAATTCCATTCAGCCACAGCAACTTCTTCCTCTTCATCTTCATAGCCATCATCAGTCAAATATGGATTATAAGCTTCGGCTACTGTGGTACTCTTCTGGAATCGGGTATCTCTGCGCATACTCTGGAATTGGCTATTGAGCGCTGTCACTCATTGAGCCAATTGACCCAAGTTGTCAAATTCTTGTTCTAGCAGCTTTTCTTTCTATATTGGCAGCATTTCTTGAATAGCTAAAGCAGCTAGCTGATCGTCGGCCAAGCTCAATGAGAAACACAAGTTCCTAGTCTCTCGAAATCTCTGAAGAAACTCAGTACCCGACTCGTTAGTCCTCTGTCACATGGTCGTCAAATCGGTTATCTTCTTTTCTCCAGTCCCGGTGTAAAAATATGTATGAAACTTCTTCTCTAGGTTAGCCCAATTGGCAATGGAGTTGACTGGTAGTGACGAAAACCAAGTGAAGGCTGGCCCTAACAGGGATAAGGAGAAGAAACGAACTCGATGGGCATCCTCAACTGATGCTTCACCCAATTGTGTGAGATACCGACTGACATGTTCTATTGTGCTTGTACTATCTTGACTAGTGAACTTGGCGAACTCTGGGAGCCTATAATTTATAGGAAGAGTGACCAAATCATACCATTCTAGATATGGGCGTTTGTACGAAAAGGTCAGCCCTTTTGGCTTCAGACCGAATTGATTCTTCATCATCTCGGTCACCTTCAGCAGCAACTCATCAGCTTGCGGATTTGGATTTCTCAGTACTTGCTGACCCATTTGTGGATTGAAATCCCGTGTGCCTTGATATCCTGGGTTTGGTATCATGTGGAGAGTGTTATAATCTGTGCCATAGTGATAGCCTTGTGGAATCTCAATCTGTTGGGTCCTTTGCTGGCTTGCTGCTTGAAGTTTCTGATTATAGACATAAGGATCTATATCTCTACTGATCCTTTGAATTGATGGTGCTATCTTTTGAGCCGACGATAGTATGTGGCCTGATGTGTCAAAATTGATCATCTAGTTCTGATTTTGCCCCGTCGGCTGTTGCACATGCTGTATCGACGGTCTAGGATTGTAGTGTATCTGATTCGTAGTAGTACCTGGAGTTTGTTCAGACGAACCTTGAAGTGCCTGGACGTCACCATCACCAGCTGGTGCTGCTTCTTGATGGTTGGTACCGACTTGATTAGTCCCTTGGGTCGACGGATCTGGAATGTTGTAACAAGTCGATCCAACCTGGCCAACTAGAATTCCATGAATCGCCTCTTTCATGGCGTTGTGAAATGCATCAACGAAAGCTTCATTGCAGCTTGATATGGCATCATGAACAGATTTGTCTATAGCTTCCGTAAAGAAACGTCTGTCTTCAGCTTCGACTGTGTCTGTCTGTCCGTGTAGTAGAACTCTTGGTAGTGGAAATTTCTGAATAATTGTGCTGTCACGTGTTTTGGTGTAGGACAACAAACACTTCTTCTGAAATTCTTCTATAGCTTTGCTGATGGTAGCCTTATCTTCATCAGGTAGGTCTTCATAATGTACCATAAGGATGTTGTCGTTGTTGTGAACCGCCATGACGATTGTGGGGTCCCACCAGGCGTGCCAGAAACATGTCGACACAAAATTTTCATCTCCGTGCCGAGGACACACGCATCAAGCAAGAAGGGTCCGCTTGATGGAGCAGATCCGCCTAGCTTCAGCGTAGGGGTGGTCGATCCTGCACGATCCTCCCGAGACGTGCCAGTTAATTTGATCCTGTAATTGACAAGGAGAGAAAGCTTATCAGTAATTAAGGGCGGAACGTGCCGGTGTTGCCAGACAGTCCCGAATGTTTGGCTCTGAGAGCCGATATGAGAGGAGATCGACTAAATAGTCGATTCTGGCATATTCATAAGAATAAATCGATTAAAGCTCATGGGGTTGCATAAGAAGAATCGGTTGTCATTTAGGATAAATTTTATTTAAGCAAATATTAATCAATGGCAATAAAATATTAATGATGATCGGTTTATACCGAGCCAATGATTACAAGTAACCGAACCCCTTTTATGTGAAGAAACAGTTCAACACCACTTAACCATTTGATAAAGATAAATCTAATGAACATGTTAGATCTCATCTATCGTCATGACCAGTGGGGCATGAGGCAGAATCATGCAGGCCGTAGAAACAACCATAGACTTGACGACCCTAACTCATTACTAATATCAGTGGAGCATGAGGCAGAATCATGCAAGCCGTAATACAATAATAGGATCATGGGGCTAACACATCTTTCGACTTATCTCTACTTCGATGATCTCGTAACGTGAACTGTTCGTGAAAGCGGTCGATATCGGCTAAACAGTCGATTTAGGCATAGCGCACAGTTAAGGTCATGCCTTCTCAGGAACGGGTCTACCAACTAACGATCCCTACTCCATGGTGCCAACAGTGGGGTGAGAGGCAGAATCCCACAGGCCGTGATGACGGGCCATGGAACAGTTCTCGCTAACCAATAGATCTACTCAAGATCAAACATGCCTTGTATTCACCAAACAATCCAGTTCGTGTATCCTTCTTCATTCGGTGGACATTCTGTTGTTCCTATTCACAGTGACTTCAACTCGTGCGCCACCTCTGAGCACACTATATGATCCCATGACATTGTTCTTATCTTCCTCCGCTATGCATATACACACACGCTATGCATTTGTCACTGTGTGGAGTAGTCACGAATGGTGGCAGTTCATCCTGTAACAATGGGTGGCTGTACGTGGTATGGAAACTATAACCACACTCAACACAGCCCTGTTTTTAGAATCTAATGGGCCAACAAAGGTCTAAAGGGTATAAACCGAAGTTTGTTTGGCCTTTTCAGACATACTTCAATGCCAAATATATGAGCACGTTTATAGGTTGGAACGTGAGAAAATTATTTTTCACTAGTAACATATAAATGAGCATATTTACTAGCAAATCCAACAACCATAACAATTTGGGATGTAGCTGCAGCGCTTCTTGGAGAACTTAATGTTCTTAATCATATTAGTGGAGCTGTTTACATTCTTTGTATTTGTATATAAAAAATTTCTTAATAATGCAAAGAAGAAATTTTATACTTGCATAATTGCATATTGTTGTATTCTACTTTGGTAACAAACAATAATTTGTACACATCGTTGCATTTTATACTTCCAATCCAAGCAGTTAGTAGTCCCTAGTGTATATCTTTGATTGGACTTTTGTCTTACAAGCTTAGGATATATAATTATGAAGCCCGATTAATTTATGATATAATTGATATTGAAGATTAAATATCATAGACTGCAAAAAATATTAGTTTTGAACAGAACCTTGTTCAGAAGGACATCCTAAAAATTCTGCACACGAATTGTACTAGAATTCGGTGCAACTTGTAATTGGATATCAACCTTTTTAAAAAAAATTATTACTTAATTCCCTCCCTCCATTCTCATAAGTAAACAGGGTTTCCTTGCAGTTTATTTGCATCTGATCGTTGGACTTTACTTCTCTTTATAAAATGTGAGCATTAGTTGACATTTCTAATCAATATTGCTATATACTTGTCCTTTCAGACTTCTCGAGAGCAAGTGGTGCGGTACACCATGCATGACCTGGTGCACGACCTGGCAAGATTGACAATGGATGACAAGCTAATAGATTTCAACGCACAGCAGAGAAATACACGTGGCCAGAAATATTGTCGCTATTCATTGCTAAAAAATTATGACCAGACAATAAAGTTGGCAAGTATTTTGCCTTCCAAGATTAGGGCACTTCGCTTCTCAGATAGTGGCGAACTGCATATCCAGAGTGGTGCATTTTCATTTGCGAACTGTCTGCGTATTTTGGATTTCAGTGAATGCTCAGGTATATTGTTGCCAGCTTCAGTTGGCAAACTGAAGCAACTGAGGTGTCTTATTGCTCCAAGAATGCAAAATGAGAGTCTCCCGGAGTGTATCACTGAGCTAGGAAAACTGCAGTACCTAAACATAAATGGATCTTCTCAGATTTCTGCACTGCCAGAATCAATTGGCAAGCTTGGATGTCTGAAATATCTATGTTTGTCTGGTTGTTCTAGTATATCGAAACTGCCAGAATCATTTGGGGACTTAAGATGCATGGTGCATCTTGACATGTCAGGCTCTTCTGGGATAAGGGAACTGGAAGACTGGCTTGGTAAGCTCAGGAATTTGCAGCATCTAGACTTATCTGGATGCTCAAGTGTAAAAGCAATACCTGAACCGTTGTGTGGCCTCACACAACTCCAATATTTGGACTTATCATCTTGTGAATGCCTTGATCGGCTACCAGAAGCTATTGGAAGTCTCATGGATTTACACTATTTAAACATGTCATACTGTGTTCAAATCAGAGAACTTCCAAAGTCACTGATGAAGCTCCAAAATTTGTTGCATCTAGATCTGTTATGCTGCACCAGCATGCGGTACCTGGGATTTGTGCGTGGCCTCACCACACTACAGCACCTGAATATGTCACGGGTATGGGTATTTGATATTGGTGTTCAAGATTTATCAAATGTTTTGGCAAACCTCACCAATCTCAAGTACTGGGGCCTAAGAAATTCAATAATACACGGCAGAGGTAATTATGTCTTCCCTTATGGAATCCGTGGGCTTACCAATCTGCAGCACCTGGACCTATCTTATAATTATAATATTGCATCTCTTCCAGAAAGTTTTGGTAACCTCAAAAGATTGCATACACTGGATTTTACGGAATGTTCTGGGCTTAAGTCCCTACCAAAGAGTATAGGTACGCTTGGGCTGAAGACTTTATTGCTGGATGGGTGCTCGGATGAACTGCTGGATCAGGCCAGTTCCCTGGTAAATTATTCACAAACATTACCACTCTTCAAGGTTCGTGCTGATGAGTTCAATGGTTGCAGCAATCTTCCTCTGCTCGAGGGCGCCATGTCAGTGAGTTAAGAATACGTTGTCTTGAAAATGTAAGGTCTCTAGAAGAAGCAACTAAAGTTAAGTTGTCAGGCAAACATAATCTGTCCAAGTTAACATTGGCTTGGTCAACTGAGCGGGCGGAACAAATTTTGAAGGACAAAGATTTGTTGGGACAACTAGTGCCACCAAAAGGCCTGAAGCACATGCATCTCCAAGGTTACAACTGTACAAGCTTTCCAGGCTGGCTTATGGATATTTCTTGTCACCTCACAAACCTTGTTTATATTCGACTGGAAGATCTGCCTACGTGTAGCAACCTGCCACCACTTGGACAGTTACGGCACCTAGAAAACCTGGAGCTCTGCAATTTGCCTGGCATTAAAAGAATCGACAGGGAATTTTGTGGTGGCAAAGGAGCATTCCGTCGATTGTCATCCTTCGAAGTCACAGAGATGACAGGCTTGAAGGAGTGGAACAAAACATACTCTGTTGAGGAGGGTGTGGAGGAGTTCATGTTCCCTGTGCTTGACAGACTGACGATAGATCATTGTCAAAGGTTGAGGTTGAAACCATGCCCACCAACATTTCGTCAGTGCCTTATATATGAGAGCGACCAAGTCATATCTTCATTGGAGGAGGTAGACAAAATCAGTCATCACTGTTCTTCCTCTAGTCCAGCCATCAAATTGGATTTGAATGGTTTAGGCTACTCCTGCCAGAGCATAAGGCTATTTCACCACTTCCCTCTACTCCGAGAGTTGACAATCTCTGGAGATAACCTGACAAACGTGCCGGAAAGCATGCGGCACCTCACTTCCCTTGAGTCATTGACGTTGCGACGCTGCTATAGCATATCCGCACTGCCTGAGTGGCTGGGCGACCTCTCCTCTCTAAAAAGCCTTGTCATCATTGGCTGCTATAGCATCTAGTCATTGCCTCCATGTATACAGCACCTCACTTCCCTTGAGTCACTGACGTTGCAATGGTGCCATCGCATATCAGCACTGCCAGAATGGCTGGGTGACCTCTCCTCTCTAAAAAGCCTTGTCATCAGGACATGTGACGGCATCAAGTCGTTGCCTGCATGTATACAGCAACTCACCAAGCTTCAGAAGTTAGAGATTAGGAGCAGCCCGGAACTGAAGAAGTGGTGTGAATCAGAAGAGAACAAGACGAAGCTGGCTCACATAAACCTTCGAGTAAGTTCACTGCCGAGCTGTACTATATCATTTTTCAGCCCTATGTTCTTTGTTTGCATTCTCTTCGATCGTGCAGTACTCCATTATCAAAGCTGCATACAAAAAGTAGGACAAAATTTACAGCAGGAGGAAAAAATTTAAGAAAGTAATTTAGAGGCTCAACTCTCTCGGATGGATTAGTTATCGTTAGCACACCTAAATTAAACAATTGCAATACCAATCTGTTCTGTTCATTGAAGACAGAATAGTGAGAACAACTATTTCAAAGAAGACATTATTCATGTTTGCGAAAAGAGAACAGAATATCCATGATGATATATATGTCCAAGCAAAAAGTCCGACGTACATAATAAGTGCATAAAACATGGGGACGTTTATTTAGTTTCATATATCAATTGTGCAGAATTTTTTTTGTCCAATTAAAGCCCAAAGCTAATCTGTGCACACTATATTTTCACTGTGCAGTTTCTTGATGAAGACACTATATTGTAGCATTAGTTGAGGTCCTGGAAACCAGTTGATAGGATATCCACTGCCTGCGAAGGCCATCATCATCACAGGATCGATATTTGCAGTATGTAATAAGTGTACTTTTGTTTGACACTAATACTGCTTTGAGATACACTTTAATTAATACTACTATTACATATTAAGGAGACTGCGTGCTGTCCAACAAATTAAATTCGAGGACGCAGCCGTGCTGTCCGAGCAAGTGTATCTTCTTATAGACTATGGGGAACAGCTGGTTTGAAGGCCGGCTGGCGTGCGATGGTTTTCCCAACATGTATGTTCACTACGCAGGCTCACACGGATCATCTTTTTCCTGTTTTTTCTTTCTTTCGTTGGCAACTTAATTTCCATGCATTTATATATCTTCAACCAACAATTTGAATATTACTAATACATATATATACACACAGGTACAGGCCGACCTTGTGAGCTCTTGCCACAAAAAAACGAGAAAGATGAAGATCACGGCAGGCGATGAATATGCTAGACCCCGCTCTGATCCTTTCGTTCGCTGGCTGGGCCACGTGGGCCAGGGAAAAGTCAACGACATCATCATTAAAAGGATACCACGCACTACCCTGGTGGGAGGGAAACTAGTCCACACGAACATTTGTGCCCCCGAATCGAACCTCCCGTTGGCCCACTGCAGACCAATGGAAACTTCGTGGAGGACCAGGCACGTTGGCCCACTACACCCGCCCTCTCACCGGACTCCGAGACTCCGATCCATGTATCCAATAATAATAATAATATGATCCTGCCTACCGGCAGCAACAGCTAGCTTAGGGCGCATTTGGATCACGCCTAAGCTGTGCCTGCGCCAGAAACACGGCGGCCATTTTGGTCGCCAGACTTTTGGCAACCCGTGACACGCAAATGAACGGGCGAGCTGTGGCTGCGTTGCGGCACGCAGCTAGTCCAGCGACTAACCAAACGGCCGCCAAAGCTTATGCGCGAGAGTTGTGGCGAGCTGTGGCGAGGTGCGGCCGCCATCCAAACGGACCCTTAGCAACCAAACCTTGATATGTGCTAGGCTGCTAGTGCTTAACCTCAAGATAAACAGGCTTGGCCTAAATTAGTATCATTATTTCAAGTGAGTAGGCTGAACAAAGGAGTTGTCACAAGATAAGCGCATGCTTGGTGGTACTTGAAGGGACTGTGATACCTATTAGGGGGATGAATTAGGTAACTTAAAATCTACTCCTGACTTAAAATCTGTGCTAATTTTCACCTATTCAAAACCTATGCAAGAAAGTAATCTACGTCGATGTGCAACTATAGTTTTGCTAGGTGTGTTGATATCTCTACCGTAATTCCATAAAGGAGTTCCGAACACTAAGTTCCAATCCTATCAACTAGCCCATCAAACTAAGCTAGGAAAGTAAGCACACAATCAAGGTACATAACATAAATGTGGAAGGTGAAAGGGCAATAGCGATGCAAACTCCCATCGATGACTCCGATATCTTTACTGAGATATCGAGAAGCTCATGCTTCCTTCTAGTCCTTGTGGGAGCCCCTTGCAATGATGCCCTCGCAAGGGTCAAGCTCCTAGTCGTGTAACTCTGTGGATAGCCCCACGAGCAAGTGAGTCTCTAAGATGGCCTCTTCTGGACTGCTCCCCACCATCTTCAATATCTGGCTGTGTTCCCTCCGGTACACAGTAGCTGCCACACCACAAACGCACAAAGTTTTTTCTTTAATTTGAACGCATTTAGAGTGGATATATCACCTACTTACACTACTGCACAAAAGATTTTTGCAAGACAGTGCCCTTTTATTTAACCGCCTCAGTTAATGCCTGCCATTAACGGATGCAGGCATTTTTTATTTACCGAGGCAGGCACTTTTGACTGCCTCATAAAATCGATTTATGGAGGCCGGCGTATTAAGGCAACCGCCTCCAAAAAATTTATTTTCGAAGGCGGGCGTATTAAGACAACCGCCTCCAAAAATTCATTTCCGGAGGTGGGCACACTATAAAGCCCGCCTCCACAAAAATAGTGGCCCAATTCTCAGCCCAAGCAAAAGCCCACATCTATCCTCACCTGGGCTCATATATATGTGACAATTAGGGTTACACTCTCCAGAGCCACTCGAACCCGCGCCCCTCCGATCCCCTCCCATTTCTCTCCTCCCTACCTACCGAGCACCCCTCTCCCTCAGTCCTCACCCCTCTCTCTCTCTCAGATCCGCCGACGCTCTCTCTCTCTCTGGTCCGTGCTCCCTCTCTCTCCCTCTCGGTGCTCCTCACGGCGCGCGGGGAAGGGGGCCGCGCCCCTGGCGTGGGGTCCGCGCTCGCAGCGGCGACAGGCCATGCCTCGGCTGGGGTGGCCGCGCTAGTAACGGCGGCGGGCCGCTAGCTCCCTTCTCCTCCTCTAGATACTGTAGCCGCGACGAGGGGGGTGAACGAGGCTGCGGCGCTGACGTAGCGCAGCTGGAGGTCCTCCAAGCACGGTAGGATGCGGCTGCCGAAGCTACACATGAGGCGCACTAGATCCGGCGCTGCTCCAGGTGGTCCTGCGCCTGTGCGGGGGGAGCGGCCGGGGTGGGCACCTCTAGGTCCGGATCCAGGCGCGGGAGGGTCTCCACTAGATCCAGCTGTAGGGTCTCCACCAACGGCACCTCCAGGTGCGGATCTAGCGGTGGTGGCGTGTCTAGGACGGCGACAGCGTGGCTAGGCTCGACATCGGGCCCATATGGGCTGGCGTTTTGTTGGTCTTTTTTTATTATTTTATTTTAATTTATAGAGGCGGGCAAAGCAACCGCCTCCATTAACCACGGATTAACCGTGACCTTTAATTGGAGGCGGTTGCAATGCCTGCCTCCAGAAACCAAAAAGACCCGCCTCCAATAATCACTCTGTAGTAGTGTTAGGGCATGTTTGAATTTCTACCTCTAAACTTTAGAGCTAAAGCTTCAAACAAGTCGTCTAAAGTTAGCTCTAAACTTTAGCCCACATCATATTACAGCTTTAGAGCTCAAAAATGAGCTAAGTGCTATAAAACTTTTAGAGCTCTAAAGTTTGTAGGAGGGATCTGAATAACAAGCCCTTAGTCACGAGTGATTTTGAGTCCCCATGATTAAGCAACACGCGCCGTCTTAAATGCTGTGGGGTGCAAGCTGGTGGGCCTCTCGCGTGTTTTAAAAAAATTGAAAATTTGCAGTTCTTGGAAAAAACTAGAGCCATCTATTTGGATAGATCAAATGTCTATAAAATAAGAAAAACCAATGTAGAGGAACTTAAGTTGTGGGCCCAATCCTAAAATATGTGGGTCTATATAACCAATGCAAAGAATTATTTCCAAAATAAATTTAAGGGTAGAATAGTACTTCGAATTATTTCCAAAATAAATTTAAGGGTAGAATAGTACTTTGAATTGTTTCCAAAATAAATTTAAGGGACGTTACTAGAAGCCACCACTCCTGCTGGCAGGGAGGTCCCACAATGGCCTCGGGGCTGCGCACCTCCAAAACCAACCAACTCCCTGGAGTTTGGTCAGGAGTCGCTGAACAGCGGGCCCAACGAGGGCCCCTCTGAGCTCGGCGCGCCCCTCGCACCCCGACCAATGGCTGTGAAAGGTCGGCCCTAGAAGGCCAGCTCAAGAAGGTGGGGACCAGCTACTGAAGCCCCTAGAAGGGCGTGTCACGCTAGGTGATCCGGTGGCCCCAAGCCAAAGCCCAGACACTCTCGATCACCCAACCCACGGTAGGCTTCGACCACAGAGGGTGCCCCCGGGCCTAAAGTCTGAGGACTCCCAGACGAGTCTTCCGAGCCTTCGCTTGAGCTTTAGAGCTAAGCGACATAGGAAGAAAGAGAAGGGGCCAGCACCACTACCACTTGGCCCCGATAGCCAAGCGTCCCCCATCATGCCCGGGGAAGGGCCCCACGCAGGGCATCGTACTCTCGTCAGCGGAAGTCATCCCCGCCAAGGAGGGTTTGGTCACTAGAAGATCGAATTCAGCCCTTCTTCGCCATCACGCCAAGTGAGGCCACGTAGGGCTCGGGGGCTCCTAACAGGATCCTAACATATGGGTATGTTAAGCCTCAGGTCCAATGGTTTCTCACAAAAAAAACCCTCGACCAACCACTCTAGGATCGCCTGGGGCTCGGGGGCTATACCCATCGGGTACGCACGCGCGCACCCTCTGGTGAAGAAACCCAGCCGAACCTGACTACGCCGTGGCCTCTGCTTAGGGCTCGGGGGCTCGCCCGAGCATCAGGCTCCTGATCTACGACACACCCGGGCTCGGCCCTTGGCTCCTACCCAGCCAACGACGCCAGCCAAGGCCCAGGCACAAGAAGACACAGCCCGAGCAACCGAGGCTCGGGGGCTCCCCGGTGCTGCCCCGTGGGCCTAGCATTGCCGGCCACTTCCCCGACAAGGTCACTCATGGGGCATGTCACTCTAGGATCGCCTAGGGGCTCAGGTGCTCCAAGGCCCGCACGTCAGCTCCTCGAGCCTGCCTCCTTCTCCACCAAGAACATTCCAGAAGGCACACCTGGAGGGAGGCCGGTGCAAGCCGATACAGCCTGACACCAAGCGTGTTAGAACAAAGCAGCCAGACGACGCGCAAGGCTTCTTCGGCTCCATGACA